CATCATCCTGTGACGGCTGAACTCTATCAGGGACTCTTGCTGATGGATCTCTATCTACTCTGTAAGGTGGAACAGAAGAGAAAACAATCAGTGTTCAGTGGAACAAATTACAAATTATTTACTATTTCAATTACAGATTTTTTTAGTAAAAAGAAGTTACATTTACATGATCTTGCATATATATTTCTGGAACAATATCTGTGTTTTAAACACATATAGAACATGAATTCTGTTCATATGTTTGTCTGTTTGTGTGGCTCCTATTGAGTCACTATAAAGAGAAACACATGCTAATGATTGTACATCAAATATAATAAACGACAAGGAACAAATACAAATGTGATTTTGCCTAAGATCAAAACATTTAGTTAAACGTTTGAGTAGTTAAAGCTGTTTGTCCTCTAGTTTAAACATGTTTGTATTGGTCTTAGTAAAGAACTGAAAGTAAAGTAAGTGTAAAGTAATGAGACGTCTTGCTGATGAAAGTAAAAACACAGAAGAGACGGAGACATTGATCATGTGATGCTGGAGTCTGCACTGATTTTACCAGCGTTTTCCTACAGTCTGACCAAACCGGTTTTCACACTGACATGATTCACTATTACTGAAGTAATTAATAAAGCAGGTATTGCTGTATAAAGCTGTGACAGTCTGCTTCTGTTCTCTTTCCTCCTTTGTGTTCAACATTTACTCAACTTTACATTTCATTCTGACACAATGAACCCTCAGGTGCAGTAAAGCTGGATGATAATCTGATGATCTCTTTCACTAATATTTGACCGTATATATTTATCAGCAGTAACTGAAGATCTCTTTAATATCAGTGATGTTTGCTCACCTCAGTTCACAGTTTGAGTCCCGTAGCACATCAATGAGCTGCTGCTTTGAGTCTCCAATCATATTATCACTCAGATCAAGCTCTTTTAGAAACCGCAGCGCTTTTGTGTTTCTCAAAGACTGAGTTAAAGAAGAAACGTCTGTAATACCACAGCGATTTAGACTGGAAAGAGACAAACAGAGGAAGAGAGATCATCTCACAAACAATCATTAATGTGAAGAATCTGACACAAATATAATGTGAACTCATCGTGAGATATTGAGTATAAAGTGTTTTGTAGTGATTTTACTGATTGTGATTCTTGTGTGTGAATGTTGCTGACCTCAAGCTCTCCAGTTTACAGCGTGAATCCTTCAGTACGTCACACAAGTGATTCACTCCTGTGTTTGTTATGTGATTCCAGCTCAGCTCCAGTTCTCTCAGGTGTGATGGGGTTGAGGTCAG